TATCTAAATCCTTCAGAATGGTAAGTGCACTACTTTCCATTTTGCAGGTTTCCGTTTATATACCATGAAACGATTATCAAGTCATTAAAATCTGTGCGGAGTACTTATCGACGCCTTGGTCATTGTTTTGGAACCTTGGTTACAAAATGAAAAAGCTAAGGTATTTTCTGACAAATCTTAATACATGTACTATCCGTTCTATACTGCAATAACTTAATATATATTGAAATTTGACCCTAACTTCAATTCAGTGATTTCCAAAGAAGACAATTCATGCAAGTCCTTATGGTACAATACACAAGTAGGGAGCAAAGTGATGGAAGGTGGAAAAAACCTTCAGAAATTATACTCAGTGAAATTTCTAAGAAAAAAACATAAACATGTATGACTATTCACATGATTACAAAACAATTCAACAAAAAATCAAGAGGAACCAGGAAAAACATAGGAAAGACATGATCACTTTTAACACAAACTTGCAAATTAAGGTTTTCTTACAAAGTTGACCTAGATAATGATAATTACAAAGACAATGAAGGCGATATAGACGATAACCTTATCATACATGTAAATTGTGCATCAATATTGTTAGTTGAAATAAAATGAAGTGACATGGAATTGAATATCATCCAAACATCTAACCATGTGCGTGAAGTAATACAAACATAAATTGTGCATAGAAAAAAAGTGATGATAACAAATGAATATATATTGTAAGGAAGAATTAAAACAAAAAGAAGTGAGAAGTACGTGTCATACAGAGATAGTATATATATATATGAACTGCAGGTTACGATATCAACCTGTACACTCTGGAACATGTACTGTGGTAACATCGATAGGCAGGGTCAGACCGAGTCCCCCAATGAGCCTATATATGCTGTATGCAAAGATCATACAACAAGAATATTAGCATTGGTATTTATTGCTCTAGTCTTTCAAAATCCTGGATATATGACAATGAGATTTTCATGTTTTATGACCGAATTTTCCCCAGATAAAATGTTTGATAAAACCTATAAAGTCTGTAGCCCTGAGGAGCTAAAAGTAAGGCTGTAACATTCATCACAATGAAGAATTCACAGTTCAAGTGAATGAAGCTAAATAATCTCAATCATATCTTAAATCAATCTAAACTTCAACCCTAAAGGTAATGGCTATTGCAGCTGAGAATTAAAAGAAGATTTTTTAAATTCCACCAATTATTAATGACTTTTTCTTTTTTTCCAAGAAATTTACTAGGTAAGCTTATACTTATAGGGAATGGTGCTATGACTTGACATATTTTAAACGAAACTTGTAAACTTCTACATTGTCTTATATATACTGAATACAAAATGTATTGTAATCCTAAGCATCAATTTAAATTTATCACGATCATGTATTGGTGCAGAGTGAGAAACTGGATGTAAACATTAATATAGATCTCTAAAGCTGAATTTGTGCTAATTTAATCAAAATAATTAAATAATGGCCTTTAAAAAATATAACAGATTGACTTTAAACTAAAAATTCAAAGAACAGAACACTATCTTTATCGTGTTTTGAGAAAATACGGTACAGTTTGTACAGTCTTGCTTCCTACATATATGCATGTGTATTTACTACATTTAATTTTAAATAGTGTACAATGAAAACATGCAACCCATACAATCAACACTTAAATTACTCTTATCAACATCTTATAAAGACAACATCAAAAAGCTTGAGATTTCACATACCAGCACCACCTTTACGGCCAGAAATCTTAACCTTTCTCCCTAACAAGCCAGAAAAAATTCACACTCATAAATAATGTAGTTACATAACCCCACAGTACATCACAAGTTTTGTCAATCTGCTTCTGTCTTGTGATAACCCTTCGCTTTATTGTTTAAGGTACCGGTAAATGAGATGGTTTATCTATTCTGTACTGGACAATGTTGATTCACTTTTAAATTTCCAAACTATTGATATTGATTGCCAAAAAATACGAACTGAATTGATTAACCTTTTTAATATATTCAATTGAATCTAAACATATTATTCATAACACTGTAGCCATAAATTTGATATATAGATTACTGATACTAAATGAAAATTAGACAGTGTTCATTCCACACTTTGCCAAAGAGGTTTTACAATACCTTGGTGATGACAATTTCATGATTACTTGAGATACATATTTAAACAAGTACCATTTATTTTGTTGCTTTCTTTTTATCATAGATCATAAATTTTAATGTCAAAGATTGGAATGAACTCTCTAAGATTAGCATTTAATAAGTAGTTAAAAGTCAGATACATGATATGTAAATTCACAAAGCATTTTATGTTAATTATTCTACTGTGAGTTATACTATACAACATTAAAAGTTTGTGTTTCTCCCTTGGTTGAATGATTGAAACTGTTCTGTCGATGATGAATTTTCAAGGTCTGCTAGTATTAGCCAGCCACATGTGTAATATGCTGTACTTGTAATTGTAGTCCACTGCATCATGAACACCATAAACTAAAGTAAATATATCTGTATACACAGCAAACCTTTCATGTTATACAGTATAGTAAAGTTTATAATGCAGGAGCAAATTCATGACAACTAATTTTACAAGAGCCCCAAGTGTACAGCATATGGCTCCTGTGTTGCTCACCGGAAATTTCGGTCGATTTAACTCATTTGAACAAATCCAAGCAAGATACAGACCAAATAACAACATAACATTACTTTTGACCTCATGGTTTGTTAGAAGTTACAAATTCAAGTTTTTCCCTTGCAACATTGAATATGTGTCAATTTCATTTCTTTAAACAATATCGATAGCACTCCACTCAGCAACCTAAAAGACAATATTAAACCCACAGAAATGCACTAGGCCATATAGATCATTAGAAGAAATCACTAAAGATTTCAACCCATTTGAGTCCCATGACCTTGAATGTTGGTCGAAGTCATTCATGGTATTAATATGTTTCACTACTCCACACTTTTGAGTCTTGACCCATGACCTTAATAAGGTTTAGGAAATTCATTTGCACAAACTTGATAGCCAATTATCCAGTGTATGCGCCAATCATCATAACCATAGGCTTTATAGTTCTATCAAAGAAGCTGTTAAAAAGTTTGTGTCAGATAGACAGACGACAGTTGGCACACCACAGAATAATTATAAGCCCATAGGGACTTTGATTTATTCCTGGTGAACCAATAAATGCTTTGTGAACTTGTTGAAATAAGTGACAGTAGATAAAATATTAGATGTTGATCCCAAAAACCCTACTACTTCTACTGTGAACCAACTTAGCTGAATCTCATACATGTACATTTACATTAATGTAGGTATGTACAACGAAGTATTCAGAATGACATTATACAATGTATCTCCTAACCCTGCAGCACCTTTGTATCTTGAAGTCGTACTTTGGTCCAGTGACAGTTTATTGCTATGTATTTTTAGACAGATATCATCTATTTACAAGATTTTAAATGGTTCCAATGGCTACTGCATATTGAGATTTGATTTTCCAAACTTTTTTTTTCCATCATAAAATGACAAGCAGTAAGTTGGTCGACAGTACACACTATGACATAATAACTGAGTCACAATACACATCTTACCCCTTGAACGCCGCCCAGTCGATCCTAGACATGCAGTTGGTAAATAGGAGTTGTTTGTCAATGATTCAATGGGAGAATATAGTACACAGGTACACAGCTACTGATCTACTACTAGTTTTGACAATCCAGACTAATATTTCTACCACCAACACCATATTACTAATTAAACATAACATTTGATTTGTCTAAAATAAATTGTAAATTGAAAAAAGAAATCTTCTATATGAAATATAAACTAAATCGATTGCATTACATGTATATATGAATTTAATCTAAATATGCTATTAAAGTGAAATGTAACAAAATCAGATAATATCACCTTCACACAACCATGGGATTCTAAATAACTTTAGATAAAATTTTGTATTACAAGTACAGAGTGTTAAATACTCTACTGTCTTTCACTAAACACTAAATCTACTTGTACATATTTAATAGGAGTTTTAAGCACTTTTAATCCCTACGGACAAAATTTGCACAATGCTTGACCTGTCTGATCCCTGATGTCTTTGTACGTACCTTCTGCCCTCAAGGCACTGGACTTGTTCATCCGGTCGTAGGAGTTGTTGATGGAATCCCTGGATTGGGCCAGTTTCAGCTCCGTGGGTGTAGCACGCACCCCCGTCTTTAAGGACCGTTCTGCTGTCTGGTGTAACACAGACTTGGGATCCAGTAGGTCTGTCACATTCATATCATACTTATCTCCCTTGGGCTTTAGGCCCGCATATTGGTCCATGTATGCCTGAAGGGCCTCCGAAGCAGAAATAAATTCCCGTTCTCCAACCTGGATCCTGGATCCATGGCAACGTATTCGGCATTTAGACTGAAAGCTATTGGTGAAAAGCCCATCTGGGGTCCCGTTGTAGTGACTGAAATCCATGGCGTACCTAACTAGCACTTGTTAAAGATGTATTCCAATTAGTGACCTACATTTTTGAACTCTGACTGCATGTGACAACTTTGCATCCAATCTGTTCCCAATCATTCTGTGAACAGACAAAATTCTTATTTTACTGTCAAGCTATAACCAAGGCATTTCAAGTGGATTAAGTATCTCCATACCAATTGTCAGTCTATCAAACAATTTCATTTTGTTTTGCATTAATGCATACAAATTGTGAATGTGCAATGTACATGATTTAACATTGGCTGATGATCCAAGTTTTAAGTTTTCTTTGCAGGAAAACAGAAACAAACTCAAGATCCTTTTTACCCAGAATGTACATGATTTTTTGCAGAAAAAAGGGAGAATTAACGGCATGATCATCACCCTTTCATCTTCTATGAGACATTACAATTTCTTACATAGCTGGCCATGTGGGATAGAATTGTCCCATGATGGAAAGCCAATATGTTAGAAACATTCATCTTACATACATCTGTAGGCATGACTTTACAATGACAATGAGATGAAGTCATGTCGCACAAAGGTATACGTCATTTTAATTTAAACTTACTTTCCAGTTCCAGTATTTTTATCTACAACTTCTGCTGTGTTACTTAAGCACATCTTTTAATAAAGAAATGACTTACCTAAGATTTCAGCCAGTATTTTTATCTACAACTTCTGCTGTGTTACTTAAGCAAATCTTTTAATAAAGAAATGACTTACCTAAGATTTCAGTACCCATCCTTCCAAACCCGGTCTTATCAGTGCACTGAGCTTCGGTCACATGCAACGACCTACAAAGCGAAAAATATTTAAATTCAATTTCAAAATGAATGTGCTATATATACACTGTATAAGCTGGTAAGATTAATCTCATTGATATACAAATATGACTTTTATATAAAATCTTAAAGTACATCTCACTTCTCTCTGTCGTGACCTCACATGTAAATTTTTCTACCGCAAAAGTGCAAGTATTTTGTTAAAATCAGGCTTCTGTGAATAACAGCAGCATTCAGATTGACTAAACCTGTAAACATATTAATTTTCTGACATGGAAACCTTGAGATGCATCCATGTGGACAATAATGTTAGAAATCATGTGACCAAGATCCGTATACTCCTCTGCAGATCTGGACTTGCCCTGTTGTTGAGTGCTTGAGTAACAAAACAAAATATGACTGCTCACATATCAATTATATACAGGCCACTTGACAGATACTGTAGGAATTTCGACGTAAATACCAGGAAGGTACATGTATTGTAATCAAAGAGAACATGTTCTTTGTAAACAAGTTGTATTGTGCTGGCAATACATTGATACCTTTAATCTGAAAATTGGGCACAAGTCTATTGACTTAAGTCGGTAATGGGTTTCGCCAAGCATTGTGCTGTGTTTATTCTCTAAGTCTGACTTATAATGAGGCCTTTTTAACAAAGGCCCAAGCTTTACTTGTGTCAAGCCTTTTATTATCAAACAACAACCTATGTCAACTCGCCGCCAGATATCATGATTGTTAAAGAATTAGACGTCAAGTTCATCATGTCAAACGGTCACAATTAGTACAGTTTAACTGTACTGATTTTTTTTTCAAAGTCCATTTAAATTATTTTAATCTGTTCGAGTTTTCACTCGGATCTAACAAGACAAGACAGAACAAATCTGAAAGACAGAAAGAGAAAAGGAGTGGTAATACCTATAGTAGATACGTATACATTTCCTGTAGTCTTATAGTTGTATACAAATCAGGGAAATAGAAACACTTTAGTGGTCAACGTCAAACTGGTCATGGATTGATGCTGTTATTGCAATAACACAATTTAATTTACATTTCATTATGTTTCTTCGTTTTCTGGTTTGAGTTTGATTTTATCTTTTTTTCAAATTCTTTTCAGTAAATTTGACAATTTGGGAAATACCTGTCCTTTTCCAGGAGTGTACTGCTTTACATAATAGCCGCCAGTTTCATCGTAAAATACAGTTTCATAGTAAACATTGAAAACTTTCAGTAGTCCTGACACATATCTACTTGCCCCAGTCATTTGCATGGGCTGCTGGTGGAATTGAACACTTAAAAATGTATTTTCAATTTGCTGGCGGTTTTTTTAACCTTTGACTTCTGTTTTAGGAAATGGCTAGCTATAGTGATTGTTCCAATAACATTCTGCTTGTTTGTAATTTAACAGTTAATTAAATAACCTAACAGGAATGTAACACAAGACACCAAATATCAACCTTAAAATGACCCCCTTCCCATATAGAAGGTATCATATGCTTATGTCACGCCCATTTCTTACAAAATGCTCTTTATGCATTAGAGTAAGCCATGTAAAATTACACTGTACATGTACAGTAACCTATATACTATAAAGCTATGATATTTACTGGTGAATGTACCCAAAAACCAGTAATCCTATGTATTTACAACACTGCAGAATGTGTATAGCATTAGTATTGTACACGTTGAGTCGGATAAGATTTTATCACTAGATATACCTGACCAGGTGGGTAACGGACAAGAAAGGTTGGTCTATATATACTAAGCAGATTGATCAGACATTCTGGTACCCGAAAATCTACCCCAAACAAAACAACCATTATCTCCTTAATCCAGTTATTTGTGCCCTCAACAACAACACACAGAAAGTAAAGACTTCCAGGTTAGGGCCACAGGTAAACATATCAATCATAAGCAACGCAGAGTTTAATGGAAATTCAGAGCCCATTAAAGATCCATCAGGAGATCCATGGCCGTGCAAGTTTGATCCCGGACTGCCACACTCCGGGACAACTAAAGAGCTACACCTGTTATAGCTCAACAGCATTACCAGACTTCCTTATATTTACAGTACTGACATTGCGCTTCCTAGCACTTGCAAAATATGTAAAAATTTAATATTAAGGCACAGTCTTACAGGCTAATATAGACAATAGGTCTCTTTAATATAGATTTCTACAGACCAACTGAACTTTTCATAGACCTCACCTTATTCAAGAAATTTTACTCACACATTTAGTACTTAATTGATATTAATTGAAAAAAAAAAAAAAAAAAAAAT